AAGCCACGGTATCTGTGCTTTCCCGGCAAACCAGGAATACAAACATTTCGAGTCTCTCGGCCCACAACCACAGGTGCACCGATCAGGCGCGCAAAGGAACGACAAGCACTGGACAGGGTCAAAACTTTCTTGTAAAGATTGTCAGGAGCCTCAAGCAGGGGCACAGCTGCCTCACCATATGTACGCAAGTGTCTAGCACGACTTCGACCAGGGTTGCGAGGAAGTGCCTTGCCAGTAACAATCTCAAAATTCACCACCAACTCTGCCCACGAAATGCCGTTAGGGGTCGGCTGCTTGGGCCATGTCAAGGTCTTCAGGAAGCTAAGCAAATCCACACAGAACTGTTCAGGCCAAGGAAAAGTGGTAGATGACAGTTTGGGTGGTTCCAACGGAAGCTTCAAAAGCAAGGGTTCCACAGGCAAAGCAGAGGATTGACTCTCCTCTTGCGGTTTGTCATCTGAATTCGGCCAACCCAAATCCCATGAGCGACGCACCACATCAAGCAGGTAAGCTTGCACTAAATGAGCCAGTTGAATGTGATTGTAACCTGGGATCTCGAAATTCAAGGGCACAAGACCACACAGCTCCAAACAAGACGGCCAGGGGCCAGTGTCGGCACGCAAAGAAACAAGGCGACCATGCCTGCTTTGTATGTCCTGTAAGTGAGGGCACAACCAAAAGAAATGCTCCGTGTCTTGGTGGTCATGACCACAAGGACACGCCGAGGTCTGGAGTCGACCAGCATGATACAAGCGCGAAGCAGTCCACACAGCGTCCGTCAAGATTGAGCGAAGGAGACGACAATCATGAGTCGACAGAAAGCTCTGCTCAGACAAGTGAACAGAGGCCGAGCGATCAACACCACATTGGGCTCCTTCAAAGTGCTTGTGAAGACCAAGTGCCTGCTGCCAACCATGCACACGACAAGCTTCACGAACATGATGCACAAACAAGTCAGAGTCTGTATTTAGAAGGTCAAGGTCAATGTCCTGATGAGTTCGAAGAGTCCAAGCAGATACCCAGGACCACTTGATACGACGAACCACATTGCACAACAAGGTGACGGGGCCACGAGGACGACGAGGGTCACGACCAGAAGCTTTCAACCACCAAGGTTCCCAAATAGCACGCACTGCTGGATTTTGAGACAGGCAGCGTTTCAAGGTTGTAAGACATTGATACACCTGGGCATGGAAAGGGTCGGTCAAGTGCGACTGAGTGAAGAGCAACAGCACTGCATGCGACGAACGAAACCGTCTGCGATGATTCCAGATGGCCATGACTACAGCACTGCGGACACGAGCAAGTGCACTTTCACCAATGAAACAAGTTTCAAGACCATAGTTGGCCAGACTGGACGCAGCTCCAGTAACCAACTGCACTTTATCTTCAAGCCTCAACGGAGCACACTGCACACGCTTGGCCGTCTTGCGGGCTTTTGCAAAACGGGCTTGCAAGAAAGTTGAACGAGCAGGACCACAGAACAGGGTTTGGCAGCCAAGGTCTTTTGCATGCCACTTTTGCACTAAAGGTTTACCAAGCATCTTCAAACCACGAAGCGCTTTGCGACCCTTGCGAGAGGTGGACCACACATGACATTTGCCAACATTTGGTTTTTGGCCACTCAGGGTTGTGAACTCTTCAGTAACCGAGATAGCCTTCTGCAGCTGGGCGACTGCAATGGACGGGTCAGGTCGCTCAACTTCGACTGTTGCATCATCAGCAAAGCTACGGACAAAGACATCAGATTCAGATTCCACAGCACGGGACCAGATGGACATGATGAGGTTCATGCCAAAACACGCTAACGCATCACCTTGGGGAAGACCACGGGTGACATGGAAAGACCGACCCAAGCCGTAAGCCGACTTCAAGTATTTGCGAGCACCACGAATTGCCGAAAGCCAAGTATTGCAAAAGTTGACCGGAAGACCAGAAGCAATCAAACACTTGTAGAGGATCTCATGCGGAATGCGATCATATGCTTTTGCCAGGTCCAAGGAAAACCCAACGCGATGGGCCTGTGATAGCCAGGCATGCTCAGCAGCAGCAGCAGAACACCAAGCAGGGTCAACACTACGCTTGCCACGACGATAGCCAAACTGTGTCGGATGCGCCCAAGACTCCTGCCAAGAGCAAAGTTGGGTTGCCCTGACAGAAGCCCACATGCGATAGACGACCGAATCGCCCTCGTCGATGACGTAGAAGTTGGACCGCTTGCGGTGCGTGATGTTTGGGTCTGCAACACCTGTGCGAGAAACGGCAAAAAGTTCTAAGAACAGCTGTTTCACTTGGAGATAGGTATATTGAGGCATTGCGATCTGACGGATGTTCATAGACGAGACAAAACGCTCTCGTTGTTGCTCGTTGAGGTCTGCTTGCACTAGGAAAATCAGTGACATCAAATTGTCTGACAATGGAAACTGCTGTGCATGTCTGGTCCTTCTATTGGTTATGGTCTGTTCTCGGAGTTCTTGTTGATAAGCTAGCTTATCTTCATCTGTTACTATCTGGTTATAGTGCAGTCTTTGCTCATCAGTGAGTGCTGCCGTAAATGCCGGAGTGCCTGCTTCGGGAAGATCGGATATGTCCAGCAGATCGGACCAAGAAGCCAACAAACGCTTCTGCGCGATTTCGAATCGCCCTATCCAGTGCACGAATTCACTCTGGCCTCGATATGTGCGAAACATCTGGAGGAATCGCCAAAGGAACACATGATTTACTCCCTTCACGAAGTATGGTCTCAATGTGTCCTTAAAATGAGAGAGGCCACGATCCGGATCTCGGAGTAAGGCATTATCGAGCATCGACTTATAAAAAGAAGCGGAACCAATGAGGGCATTCTTTAATGATGGTCCGTGTTTATCTGCATCCAATGTTGTAATCCCTAACCAGTCATCAATTAAATCTTCATATTCAAACCAGCTTGATTGGCCATCAAATTGGGGTGGAACCTTCGGTGTCATTTTGATGCCCATCCGGTTTTCGGAATGACTGGTGGCGGCATATGCTTCAGGCTCTTCATAAGAGACAATCTGGAATTGTTCTTCATCTGAATCCATGTTGTGGATTAAGACCATGGCAGCTACTCTAACTTGACCTACAGGTTGCCTCCGCAAGTCCGATATACGGAATGTATGCAGAGAACGGCAGTTCGGCACACGGATCTAGACTTGGCGAAGGCACAGGCTCCGCTACCACTTTGAGGTAGCTATCCCTCTATTAGGGGAGCCCTGCATTATGTACAAACACCTGAGTCAAGCAGATTCTGCTAGTCTTGAGCCATGCGGAGTGCGCATGAAAGATATGAATTATGTATACATGTCAACATGCATGACAGCATTGTGTAGACACGTAAACAAAAATAAATCACAGGGAGGAGGGGGGGGGTGTGGGGGTCCGGGGACCGGGCTCATATATATGTGTGTGTAATACCATACTGGCTAACAACCCTCCAACTTCACCACCAGGTCATATCCCTCAACAAAGAGACCATGACCAACTTACCTTATATAGCACCGCCATGCAATCTTGATGCGATGGGAAGCCTAGGCCTGGCAAAATGGGGGGCAAATGTTGCTAGAAATTCCAACCTAAGAGGCCAAACAACGAGTACGTGGGGGAACATCTGCAAACCAGTGGTTCGTTGCTGGGTTCAAAGAGCATAGCTAAGTTGACATCCATCAGAACAGTAATCAGAATTACATGCGAGACGAATGGCAAATTGACTGCTCTGACCACGGTCCAGTGGTTGCAACATGGCCGAAACGTACGAGAGTTTACTTTACTGGTACCAGGGTGAACAGTCCGAGTTCGATGCAAACAAAACCCAAACCAAAAAAAAACAACATGTAACACATCACAGCTCTCAAAATCTATTAGATCCAAGGAATCCAAGGGGTCCTATTCAAACCTGCAATATTTGGACAGTGGATGTCACGACACCATGGAGGCCACCACAATGAGTGTCTTGAGTGTGCCGAACCTATTCTGTTTGTGTGGTGGTACCTGGTTGGGAAAGCCTCAAAATCCGTTGGCTTAATTATCATCTTTGTCATTGTCCCCACTGATCACTAATTTATGCCTATTGTGGTAGGAAATCCATGTCACCACTTTCAAACACACCCACGTGCATCTGAATCTGTACAGTTTTCTTTCCAACACATTGACATAATAAGTAACACAAGTGTTTCCAAAGCAATGGCAACAAGAAGAGCATCACATTAGTAGGATCATTGCCAAAATCATTTTGCAATTTCCGGCAAGTGAGTAAATTTCAAACAAAATGCCTCACCTCAAACGGGAAGTTGTTCTTCCTGACGCAAGGGCTCGAAACACGACAGAAAAACAGTCTTTTGGAGGTCCTGGAAACAAAATGTTGATCCGAATCAGAATCTGGGTTTGGTAAAAAAGAAATGCTGGGGTAAAAAAACAATCCAATGGATCAAAACCTCATCTTTTTAATTTTACTACTTTCTGATAACATGGGAGTATTGAAAGGTAGATCCAAATTCATTATTGCTCATGTCATCTGCCATGCGCAAAATGTGTACAACTATTTAGAAAAAATGTTGTGTGTCATGTGAGTTGAATACCAAAGAGTGCCAGTTTCAGTCCTATTTTTTTGTTCGATCGAAGTGTGCGACGCGCGCCCTCCCAAACAGTTGAGCACATGATATAGGATCTCCCCAAGAGTGTCAAGGTTTTGAATCAATCCGAACGAATCCACCGCCATTTCAGTTCCAGGTTTAACCATTGAGTTGAAGGCTCATGTCATGTGCGGTATATGCGGTATACATGTAAATTCATGTGGGAAAAATCATGGCACTGGAATTAAATCAAACATGTTACAAGAATGCAGGGGTGTGTCAGACGTTGCACAAAATTACACAATTTTAGAACTGAATTCGGGGGTTGTAATTTCGAAAAAATATGTCGTTCCGTCCATCCAGCTTTAGTTTTATTCAGCAAAGGTCTTTGAAGCAAAAACAAAAGAAAACAGAAACAACAAAGAACGGATTCGCCATTTTCAATCAAAGGTGCAACACATCTGATGATTCTTATGCACATCAACAATCATGCAAAACACATTAGAACTCGTCAAACAAATCTGCCCACGTCTTCTCGTTTCCCCTTCGTTTCCTGACCTTGTGATCCATGCCCGTGCTACACCAACCGGGATCGGCTTGCAACTTCTCCGGGAGTTGTCACGTAGTGTCTGCCAAATCCTACCAGGTGCACCGCGTCATGATCTTTGGGCATTGGGATGAATTGGGTATCTGCAGTATTGGAAGTGCGCCATGCCGGTTTGCTCTCGCAGTGCCCTACAGCAACTTACGGTATTGGCACAAGACAGGGAAAATCATAGGAAACACAATTTGTTGTTTCCCAAAATTTCCCCCACGTTTTCCAGTGGTTTTTCCAGATGTTTAAGGTTTCCCATGTTTTTCATCACCTTTTCCCCAGCTTTTCACCCTTTCTTTCATCGATGTTCTCCCTTCCCCCATGAAATTCACCATTTCAGGCGAGGCGAAGCCGTGGTGAAACTTCCCCAGCTCAGAGATGGTTTCACGGCTGCGTTTCAGGCTACACGACAAGATCTTGTGAATCACATGCTGCGTGCTCCGAAAGGATCCGAAAGGCCCGAAATCTGTGATGTGGCACATTCTGAATCATTGGACATGATTGGTCACTTAAGGTGTGAATGGATTCGATTCAGGTTGTTTGATATGAATCGACATTCTGAATCGATATGACATCATTGGAACATATATAATATATAATTAGAAGTTCGGGCCGGCCAAAAGAAAAAATGAAAAATGCAAAAGAAAAAACACCACAACCACCAGAATTACAAATGCAAAATACCTGGAAAAAAAGGAAACAAATATCAGGTTTCTTTCCCAGAGTTCATGAAACATCACAGCAAAAAAAAACAGACATTTTTTCCTTTAAAATCATCAGAAATTCTGACTTTGATGCACATGTTTCTTAACCGCGCGTCGCGCCTCCCCCTTGTGTTGTTGTGCCGGCTCCACGGCCTTGAATAGATTGCATCCATGATGAAGAATCTGTTGATATGTCTCTTGCTTCAAGGTGTTTACAATGATATTTTTGTGAACAAACCGATCCTTGTTCTGGATATCTTTGAGGTAGTGGTTCCCAATGTGCTGTTAGCCGAACCTACCAAACCATGAGACAGCACGGCGCGCTATTTTCTCCTCGCAATGGGGTCTTGAGCCAAGTTGGCGTCCCAATGCATTAATGTGCATGTACACGGCACATGCAACTACCGTACCACTTCGTTCCCTTTAGCACCCCCCATGCCCGTGGTATCTTCGAACCACGGACACGAGAGAGGGAACTTTGAATTAGTGAGGTCCTGCTACTTGAATTACGCCTATCTACATAAAGATGCCATTCGGCTCCCCCTTTCCCACATACCCGTCGGGTATAATGGTTCAGGGTTCACCTACTCTTTGGCTGTCGATGCATTGGCGTTTCATCAAGCTGTACAACGCGAATTATTGCTAGCTAACACCTACTTTTCTACGTTGGCTAAGCTCACCACTCACCCGTCGGGAGAAATGGATCGCCTCGCTACCAAAGACTTACAGTGCCAACTAACGAATTCACGTGCACAATGCAGAATCTCGTGCAGATTGGGAATATCAAAAGTTCTGAACCTAAGCGAATTAGTCCAATGCCTCGCTCAGAGTCCACTCAGTTGGTCTTTTCCTGATCATCTGTTCACAAAGACGATACACATCTTATAGACCAGTGATCATGAAGC